CCCCAAAACCCCAAAACCCCAAAACCCCAAAACCCCAATTAGGCACCACTTAATAGAGTTTTGTCTAAATTATTAGTAATGGATAAAGGAAAATCTGAAGAAAAGAAGAATCTTATAGAATCCAAAGAGGCAAGCAACAATAAGAAGGGTAACTCAGCTCAAGAATACAATGTACCTTTGATTTTCAAGTTGTTCCATTTATTATCCCCTTTCTGAGTTATTGGGTTTGGAACTCTCTACTTTGAGAATCATATATATGGATTCTGGGCGTTCTACGTAGTCAATTGCTTAATATACCCTTTGTTGGTACTGAACTTGACTCCTTACTATACTCAAGCTTGGAAGAGGGTTAAAAAGACAACTTGGTTGCCTATTGATGGCAAGAGGAACTTCAAAGAAACCTTCACTATTGCATTTGTATTTTTTATTGGATTCTGGGGCTTAGGCTACATGAATAGAGCTTCAAACGTTTGTATGCACAAAGAAGAACTCTCCAAGTACTGCATTGGAGATAGCATCGTTATCACGCCGACTAAAGCACTAATGATCGGTACATTCTGTTGTTAATAATATAGTTGGAGCAATCTTTTTGATTGGATTTGTCAATCCAATCTTGGAAGAGTTTTATTGGAGACTTTTCGCAGTGGAAATTCTCAAGACAGTTAGATTAGAGTTTAACATTATAGGGTGAAAGTGACGAATCTAGCAATAATATATCTGGCAGGAAGGCTCAAGACTCATCTAAGTAAATCCCCTTTAACCTATAGACTTGTCTGGCTGACTTCTTTTGCTTTCGGACTTCACCACTTCTGGATGCAGTGCAGTGTCCCTCAACCCTTTTGATGTTATCTTGAGAATGGAGTCCCTGGAGGAATCGGTTTCATTTTTGTATGAATGATACTAGGACTTGTGTTTCATTGGCAGAAGAACCGTGGAGGAATGTTTAACGCATGGCTAGTTCACTTCGGCCTCAATATTGGCCAGTTGTTCTGTATGTATCTTGAGAGCGTTGTCAATGCTGAAGTAGCAATTCTTTAAAAGGATACACAGATTTGAATTTTTAAGGGCTAAATGCTGAAATTAAAGATTTAAATTTGAGAGAAATTGAGGGGTTTTGGGGTTTTGGGGTTTTGGGGTTTTGGGG